ATAGCATTTTTAATATCACTTGATGAGGAAAAATATTCCTAGAGAAAAAGCTGGCCGACGTGCCCCTGCCAGCCGCTTTAATAGCCCTGAGCAGAAGATGCCAGTGGTACAGTGTGCTGTCAGCTTCTCTTGGTTCTTAGAGAAGCTGTTTCATGTGTGCCCATCACACTAAACACTGATGGGCCAGGGTGGTCCTGGATCAGAAGCGAGGACATCATTTTCGGGTAATCACATGCAGCAGAACCGTCTCATATTAAACAGGGCTGGTGAATGGTGGACGCGGTGCCTTTCTACCTGACTGGAGAAGGCCCGAGGCCTCTCACAGCACATCACACCCAGGACTACTGGGGAGAGGAGGGGGCTCAGCCAGCTCGCTGGGCACAGCACTCTGTCCACACAACCGAGGAACAAAGATTAAAATCCTGTCACTGTTATTTCCATGCACAGAACAGTCGGGCATCGTGAGGTAAGCCACAGTGAACCTTGGTTGTCAGAACTTATGTAAAGGTTCATTACTTTCCTCTGCGCTTGGAAAGACGGGCCTTCATTTCCCACTCAGCTGTTACCGTTTTCCTCCTGGTTTTGCTCAGAGTGCTGCACTCAGCGTACCTATGTCATCCTGACGGTTCGCAGGCCTGTTCTGTGGTCTCCCTGCTGTGGTCTGCCTGCTGTGGTCTCCTTGGCTGTGAGGAGATGCATGGGTGAAGCGCCGTGGGGAAGCCTGCTCCTAATGGTGGACGCGTGGGAATCTGGCCCCATGCTCGGAATTGCTGACCTAGTGGTCTCTGTTTCAGTCTAGTGAAGCTGGACTCCCAGAATATTACTCTGGAAACAGTATTTGTCCGCAGCATGGAGTCTTGCTGGTGATCCTGTTTTGCTGCTTATTCCTAGGTTTAGTGTTGTGAACTTGGCAAAGCAAAGTTCTCCTCTGAAGTACATCATCTGAGCTCATGGAAAGCAGTGTAGCAGAGCTCTCAACCTTGGCTTCGAGTAGGGTCCCTTCCTTAGCGTATCTGCCAAGCTTGCTTTGCAGCAGGGAGTGGTACAGCCTGCCACATCTGTCTTCTGCGGGCTATTAGGAGATCAACTCAAGTGAGATCATGCGTGTGAAAGTACTTTGGAAATCCCAAAGGGTGTGCTCTGAGAAACGCTGGCAGGATGAAGACCTGTTCCCTTGGGCTCTGTTGGGCTATGTGTGTTACTGATAGTGCTGCCTTTGCTAAGTGGTTGCCGTGATCACCGGAACAGGTCTGTGTATTTGCCTCAATCTTACATGTATGTTTAACCTGGCATTTTTCTGGCCAGGCTAGCAGTTGTGTTTCCAATTCCAAGTAGTTGCTTTGAGATTTTCTTAATGCTCTTCAGATACATTTGTACTCTAAACAGTTGATAGTATCCTTTGGGTGAATTGTGTTATTAACATAGTTTGATATATACTGTGCTGATGAATACAATTTCTGTAAGTCATGTGGATCTGATGATTTCTGTCTTTGAGGCATGATAATTCCATATTTTTTATGTATATAAATTTCCAGAGCTCTAAATAAGAGTAGGATGTCATTCTAATCACAAGAACCCTGATGACAGTTCACACATGCATTTGGGCACACACATGCACCTTTCTAACCACATGGATTCATACCATAGAGGCTGTGAAGCAGTGAAGTTTTATTTGTACATAATGATGTTCTCTGGACTTCTTACAGTGTGTCACATCAAGATCTAGTGTGTGTGCATGCACGCACACATGTGCAGCATTTCTGAGTCTGGCGAAATCTAAGTCCCCATCAAAGATAATTTAAATTGTTTCCAGTTTTTATTCTTGCAGTGCTATGGCCAACATCCAATTGCCTGCTCATATCTTCACACATTCAAAGATGTCCAAGGGATAAGTCCCTAGTAGAACTGAGAGAAAGTATAAAGTTATTCCAAAATTTGTTAAGTACCTCTGTTGCTTTTAAAGATTTGCATTTAAAACAAATTTAACTCTAAGAAGAAATGAAGACTTGAGAGACTGAAAGTTCCGGTAACCTGACCAAGATTCTTAGAGTTCCTGACTCATAAAGTCAGCTTCTACACTCATACCTACCTATGCTGCCACATATAGTGTATCTCCATTGCCACTTTGAAGCATAATTTAGACTTTAAAACTGGGAGCTATTATTCCATATCCTTTTAACGTTCTCATCACGCAATTAAAATGTAACGAAAAGATGGTTCAGAGCCAAAGACCCTTGTGAAGTATTAGCTTTCCTGCCCTTGGGAGCCAATACCCGACGTCCACAACTTCAAGAAGGTTCACGTGTCAGGGGGTCCAGTTCATGGTTGGCTGCTCCATGGCAGAGTCATCATGGAGGAAGGGTGTGGTAGAGCTGAGCTGCACATTTCATGGTGGCAGGGAAGCAGAGCAGGGGATAGCGCCAGAGAGGAGGGGGCCAGGGACTAGATGTAGACTGCAAGGCCACGTCCCCATGACCACCCAGACCTGTAAGTGTGCTCTACTGATCCCCTCGGTGTTTCCAAAGCCAACGAACTGAACACAGTTAAACTTAACCACCTCAACCCTGTAGCCCCCAAACTACCAAGTCACTCTGGACGCTAACATGACACCTTTTTATTTGTGGGCAGCAGGAAATACACTAAGATCTGCAGTTTGTAGCCCATCATATCTCTGCCAGCCCTATGTCTTAGGCACCTAGGGAAAACAGGTGATTTGAATATAGCTGTCTTGGAAAGTTATTCGGTACATTTGGCCCCAAACTTCTTTAAGCTTCCACTTTAAGTACCATTATCGCTGCACTTGTGATCACATTCCATGACATGTCCATTTATCACAACAGTTTGGCCCAAGCAAAGGGTATTAACCGTCTCCCTCAGGGACTCCTTTCCTTCATTTCTTTTTCTGTGTTTATTCTCTGTCTTGTCTGTTTTTCTGTGAGTTCCTTCCATCCTTGGCTCAGACTGGATTTTTTCTCGCCTTTGTTTCAGTTCTAAAGAAAACAGATCTTTCTCTGTGTGGACCTTAGAGCCACCTCAACTTCAGACTGGAGCTTCCCTACTTTCCTGGTACCCTGCACCCTACACAGACATCCACTGGACACACAAGCTGTAACATTTCCAATTGCCTCTGGTTTGGCTTTATTATTTTATTTTATCTTTTGTGGTACTGGGGATTGAATCCAGAACTTTATACTCAGCTACATCTTCCTTCCTTCCCTCCCTCCCTCTCCTCATTCTCCGCCTCTACTTCTTCCTCCTCCTTCCTCTGTCCCCACCCCCACCCCATCTTTGTGTTTTGGTTTTGAGACAGGGTCTTGCTGGGCTTAAACTTGTGATCCTCCTGCCTCAGCTTCCCACAGTGCTGAGATTACAGGCATGTACCACTGTACCCTGCTTGCTTTTTATTTTTTTACTTATTTCTTACCTGCTTAGGAAGTCAAATTGATTGTTCCCATGTTATGATTAAGAAATGGAATCAGGAGGCTCATGTGGCTTACCTCCAGCAGAGGCCAAAGTCAGTTCAAGTTATTCCTCACTGCCCATCTGTTCCTCCCCATTGCACAGTCTCCAAGTTACAAAACAGGTGTGCTCCGTCCAGAAATGCGTGTGGAAGTCCGTTATTTGGCAGTTCAGCTGCATTTGACCACGGTGGAAAGATAATATTATAAACGGCGATTAAGTCTCTCAGCTGGCCAAGAAGGGGCTGGTTAACTCCCAAGGGACTACGGGTGATGTGTTTGAATGGGGATGAAAGGCCACACGGGCAGTGGGACTCCACAGTTTCCCTGAGGATCCGCATGTTTCATTAGGAAGGGAAGGATGGCTGCAAACCCCAGTTCTTTCCTCTGCCTTGGTACGCAGGTGAAGCAGACCAGGAGAGTCAGGGATCACTCTCCTGTGAACGTCTGGATTTTTGTGGGTGTGTTGCTCAGAGGGGGGCAGGGGCAGGAAGGGAGGATTGTGTCTGGGTTTTTGTTTGTTTCTTTTACTGGTCAAGTATGGTACAGGTAATTCAAGCAGGGGTTTTCCTGTGTATTGAATTCTGGACCCTAGGGTTAGGGTGGAAGGAAAATGAAAGGAAAAAATACCTCACCTGAGGCACATAATACCCACAGAGTTATTTTCCTCATGAGCAAGCAGTGTTACCTGCTTTGTGGAACACAGAGAACAAGTTAATAAACGTGTAGATATCTTATGGAGCATGCTTACTAACTTTTAGCATTATAGTAACTGATTTAGAAAATAAAACTTGCATCATGCTTGCAGGAATTCTTGGCTGACTAGTTTTTGTTCTCCTTTTGTTATGTTCTCTTGTTACAGTGTTTGAGTGATTTAGAGGGAAAATATTTTGTTCTTGGTATTTTTTTAAGACATAAAGCTTCTTTCCCTTCCCCTTCTCCTCTTTTGCCTCCTCCCCTTCCCCCCCCTTTTGAGACAGGGTCAGACTCTAGTTCAGGCTGTCCTTGAACCTACTATATATCCCAGGCTGGCCTCAGGCTTGCAGTGATCCTCCTGCCTCAGCCTCCCAAGTGCTAGGATTACATGAATTTGCCACCTTGCCTGGCAAGACTTTAAACATTCTTAAGATCTGAAGATCAGGCACACGATTTAACTTGTATGGCCAGTGACTTCCTCAGGGTGGCTCTTCCTCTGGCCGTTACCCGAATCAGAACACCCGCGCACTGTGGTGCCGAGGCGGTGAACCGTGTTGTTAGTGTCCTTTCCTTTCCCACTGGATGCTCTGCAACTTGGCGGGTTCCTGCATCTGGATGGGCAGGCGCTCAGAGGGAGGCAGGAGGCGACTGTGGCACAGGAGAGGGTGGTTCTGGCACCAGGCTCTGGAGGAAGGGAGCAGAGGCCTGTGTGGCGCTGCACTGCCCACCGCCTGGCACCTGAGGAAGCCTTGTTTTCCAAGAGCTCTTTGTAGATACCTTACTCGTCTTTCTCACATTTTCCTGCTTGCTTGTAACGAGACAATTTCATGTCATTTTCTCTCTTAGGGTCAAGAAGCTAGAGCATGGCCCTGAGCAATGGGAGCCCTGATTTTGTGTTTCTGAGCAATGGCAGCATTGCAACCGGCACTACCAGTCGGGGTGCCCTGGCGCCCGGGGATGGCGACCTCGTCGCCCAGCAGCTCCTGCCCAGAGACGTGGCCCCAGCAAAAGTGAGTCCAAATGGATGCCTGCACCGCAGCAGCACCGTGAGGTCTTCCCTCCTGCCTTTAGACGGCCAGCGAGCGCCTCCAGCGCGCCCTCAGCACTCCC